GATGGATGGATAGACATGTGGATAGACAGATGGATATGTGGATATGGATAGCCCTAGGATGGATATGTGGATAGACAGAGTAATGGATAGCCCTAGGATGGATATGTGGATAGACAGAGGCACGGATAGCCCTAGGATGGGATGGATAGACATGTGGATAGACAGGATGGATATGTGGATAGACAGAGGCAATGGATAGCCCTAGGATGGATATGTGGATAGAAACGGATAGCCCTAGGATGGATATGTGGATAGACAGAGGCACGGATAGCCCTAGGATGGATGGATGTGGATAGACAGAGGCAACGGATAGCCCCTAGGATGGATATGTGGATAGACAGAGGCACGGATAGCCCTAGGATGGATATGTGGATAGACAGAGGCACGGATAGCCCTGGAGGGATGGATATGTGGATAGACAGAGGCAACGGATAGCCCTAGGATGGATATGTGGATAGACAGAGGCTAGGAATGTGGATAGACAGAGGGGATGGCCCCTAGGATGGATGGAGATGTGGATGACAGGGATATAGGATGGATATGTGGATAGACAGGCACGGATAGCCTAGGATGGATATGTGGATAGACAGAGGCTAGGATGGATATGTGGATAGACAGAGTAATGGATAGCCTAGGGATGGATATGTGGATAGACAGAGGCATGGATAGCCCCTAGGATGGATATGTGGATAGACAGAGGCAATGGATAGCCCTAGGGATGGATATGTGGATAGACAGAGGCACGGATAGCCTAGGATGGATATGTGGATAGACAGAGGCACGGATAGCCCTGGATAGACAGAGGCACGGATAGCCCTAGGATGGATATGTGGATAGACAGAGGCAACGGATAGCCCTAGGATGGATATGTGGATAGACAGAGGCCCTAGGATGGATATGTGGATGAACAGAGGATGGATAGCCCCTAGGATGGATATGTGGATAGACAGAGGCACGGATAGCCCTAGGGATGGATATGTGGATAGACAGAGGCTGGGATAGCCCTAGGATGGATATGTGGATAGACAGAGGCCCTAGGATGGATAGCCCCTAGGATGGATATGTGGATAGACAGAGGCACGGGATAGCCCCTAGGATGGATATGGGATAGACAGAGGCGGATAGCCCTAGGATGGATATGTGGATAGACAGAGGCACGGATAGCCCTAGGATGGATGTGTGGATAGACAGGGGCACGGATAGCCCTAGGATGGATATGTGGATAGACAGAGGTGGATAGCCCTAGGGATGGATATGTGGATAGACAGAGGCACGGATAGCCCTAGGATGGATATGTGGATAGACAGAGGCGCGGATAGCCCTAGGATGGATATGGATAGACAGAGGCGCGGATAGCCCTGGGATGGGATGGATAGGCCCGGATAGGATGGATGGATATGTGGATAGACAGAGGCACGGATAGCCCTAGGATGGATATGTGGATAGACAGAGGCACGGATAGCCTAGGATGGATATGTGGATAGACAGAGGCATGGATAGCCCTAGGATGGATATGTGGATAGACAGGGTACGGATAGCCCCAGGATGGATATGTGGATAGACAGAGGCATGGATAGCCCTAGGATGGATATGTGGATAGACAGAGGTAATGGATAGCCCTAGGATGGATATGTGGATAGACAGATTTAGGATGGATAAGGGGACTAGCCTAGGATGGATATGTGTGGATAGACAGATAGCCCTAGGATGGATAGCCCTAGGATGGATATGTGGATAGACAGAGGCAATGGATAGCCCTAGGGATGGATATGTGGATAGACAGAGGCACGGATAGCCTAGGATGGATATGTGGATAGACAGAGGCCGCGGACAGCCCTAGGATGGATATGTGGATAGACAGAGGCATGGATAGCCCTAGGATGGATATGTGGATAGACAGAGGCACGGATAGCCCTAGGATGGATATGTGGATAGACACGGATAGCCCTAGGATGGATATGTGGATAGACAGAGGCGCGGATAGCCCTAGGGATGGATGCTCAGGTGTGGGATAGACAGGGCACGGATAGCCCTAGGATGGATATGTGGATAGACAGAGGCACGGATAGCCCTAGGGATGGATGTGGATAGACAGAGGCACGGATAGCCCCTAGGATGGATATGTGGATAGACAGAGGCACGGATAGCCCTAGGATGGATATGTGGATAGACAGAGGCACGGATAGCCTAGGATGGATATGTGGACAGACAGGGGCGCGGATAGCCCTAGGATGGATATGTGGATAGACAGAGGCGCGGATAGCCCTAGGGATGGATGGATATGTGGATAGACAGATGGATATGTGGATGGATAGCCCCTAGGGATGGATATGTGGATAGACAGAGGCAACGGATAGCCCTAGGGATGGATATGTGGATAGACAGAGGCACGGATAGCCCTAGGGATGGATATGTGGATAGACAGGCGGGATAGCCCTAGGATGGATATGTGGATAGACAGAGGCGCGGATAGCCCTAGGATGGATATGTGGATAGACAGATGGGTGTGGATAGACAGCAATGGATGGCCCTAGGATGGATGGATAGACAGGCAATGGATAAGGATGGAGTGTGGATAGGACAGAGGGATAGGGGATATGTGGATAGACAGAGGCCTAGGATGGATGACAGACAGAGGCCCGGAGATAGGATGGATGTGGATAGACAGAGGCACGGGATAGCCCTAGGGATGGATGTGTGGATAGACAGAGGCACGGATAGCCCTAGGATGGATATGTGGACAGACAGAGATGGATAGCCCTAGGATGGATATGTGGATAGACAGAGATGGATAGCCCTAGGGATGGATGTGGATAGACAGAGTGGAGGCTCCTAGGGATGGATATGTGGATAGACAGAGTATGGATAGCCCTAGGATGGATATGTGGATAGACAGAGGCACGGGGATAGCCCTAGGATGGATGTGGATAGACAGAGGGCACTAGGATGGATATGTGATGGACAGGGGCACGGATAGCCCTAGGATGGATATGTGGATAGACAGAGGCACGGATAGCCCCTAGGATGGATAGGATAGACTAGGATGGATATGTGGATAACAGGCATTGGATAGCCCTAGGATGGATATGTGGATAGACAGAGGCGCTGGATAGCCCTAGGATGGATATGTGGATAGACAGAGGCACGGATAGCCCTAGGATGGATGTGGATAGACAGAAAATGGATAGCCCTAGGATGGATATGTGGATAGACAGAGGCACGGATAGCCCCTAGGATGGATATGTGGATAGACAGAGGCACGGATAGCCCTAGGATGGATATGTGGATAGACAGAGGCACGGATAGCCCTAGGATGGATATGTGGATAGACAGGGCACGGATAGCCCTAGGATGGATATGTGGATAGACAGGAGGCATGGATAGCCCTAGGATGGATATGTGGATAGACAGAGGTACGGATAGCCTAGGATGGATGTGTGGATAGACAGAGAAGATGGATAGCCCTAGGATGGATGTGGATAGACAGATGGATAGCCCTAGGATGGATATGTGGATAGACAGATAGACAGGCTGGATAGCCCTAGGATGGATGTGTGGATAGACAGAGGCGCGGATAGCCCTAGGATGGATATGTGTGGATAGACAGAGGCGCGGACAGCCCCTAGGGGATGGATAGACAGAGGCATGGATGTGTGGATATGTGTGGACAGACAGGAAAATGGATAGCCCTAGGATGATATGTGTGGATAGGATGGATAGGATGGATGAACAGTGGATAGCCCTAGGATGGATATGGATGAGACAGAGGCCCTAGGATGGATATGTGGATAGACAGACAGGGCCCTAGGATGGATATGTGGATAGACAGAGGCCCTAGGATGGATATGTGGATAGACAGAGGCGGATGGGATAGGATGGGATGGATGAACAGGGCGGATAGACCCTAGGGATGGATGTGGATAGACAGAGGATGGATAGCCCTAGGATGGATGTGTGGATAGACAGAGGCGCGGATAGCCTAGGGATGGATGTGTGGATAGACAGAGGCGGATAGGCCCTAGGATGGATGTGTGGATAGACAGAGGCGGATGGCCCTAGGATGGATGTGTGGATAGACCAGGAGATATGTGGGCGGATGGATGGGGATGGATGTGGATAGACAGAGGGATAGCCCTAGGGATGGATATGTGGATAGACAGAGGCACGGATAGCCCTAGGATGGATGTGTGGATAGACAGAGGCACGGATAGCCCTAGGATGGATGTGTGGATAGACAGAGGCTGGATAGCCCTAGGATGGATATGTGGATAGACAGAGGCCGGATAGCTAGGGATGGATATGTGGATAGACAGGATGGATAGCCCTAGGATGGATGTGGATAGACAGAGGTACTGGATAGCCCTAGGATGGATAGGTGTGGATAGACAGAGGCGCGGATAGCCCTAGGGATGGGATGTGGATAGACAGGGCACGGATAGCCCTAGGGATGGATATGTGGATAGACAGAGGCACGGATAGCCCTAGGATGGATATGTGGATAGACAGAGGCTGGATAGCCCTAGGATGGATATGTGGATAGACAGAGGCATGGGATAGCCCCTAGGATGGATATGTGGATGACGGACTAGGATGGATATGTGGATAGACAGAGGCGGATAGCCCTAGGATGGATATGTGGATAGACAGAGGCAGCGGATAGCCTAGGATGGATATGGAGAGGACAGATAGGAGGATGGATATGTGGATGAACAGAGGCATAGGATAGCCCTAGGATGGGATGTGGATAGCCAGGGATGATAGCCTAGGATGGATATGTGGATAGACAGAGCATGGATAGCCCCTAGGATGGATATGTGGATGACAGAGGGGCGGATAGGATGGATAGGATGGATATGTGGATGGATGGATAGGATAGACAGAGGCGGATAGCCCTAGGATGGATATGTGGGATAGCCCTAGGATGGATATGTGGATAGGATGGATGTGGATGCGGATAGCCCTAGGATGGATATGTGGATAGACAGGGAGGCACGGATAGCCTAGGATGGATATGTGGATAGACAGAGGCGGATAGCCCTAGGATGGATATGTGGATAGACAGAGAGGATGGATAGCCCTAGGATGGATATGTGGATAGACAGAGGCACGGATAGCCCTAGGATGGATATGTGGATAGACAGAGGCGGATAGCCCGGATAGGCATGGATAGCCCTAGGATGGGATATGTGGATAGACAGAGGCACGGATGGCCCTAGGATGGATATGTGGATAGACAGACATTTGGATAGCCCTAGGATGGATGTGGATAGGATAGCCTCAGGATGGATATGTGGGACAGACTAGGGATGGATATGTGGATAGACCCTAGGATGGATGGATATGTGGATAGACAGAGGCACGGATAGCCCCTAGGATGGATATGTGGATAGACAGAGGCACGGATAGCCCTAGGATGGATATGTGGATAGACAGGCTTTGGATAGCCCTAGAGGATGGATATGTGGATAGATACGGACCCTAGGGATGGATATGTGGATAGACAGCATGAGCCCTAGGATGGATATGTGGATAGACCCTAGGATGGATATGTGGATAGACAGGATGGATATGTGGATAGACAGAGGCGGATAGCCCTAGGGATGGATATGATAGATGGCGGATACATGTGGACAGGCATGGATGGCCCTGGGATGATGTGGATAGACAGAGGCGGATAGCCCTAGGATGGATATGTGGATAGACAGAGGCGCGGATAGCCCTAGGATGGATATGTGGATGAACAGGGGGCGGATAGCCCTAGGATGGATATGTGGATAGACAGAGGCGCGGATAGCCCTAGGATGGATATGTGGATGAACAGAGGTGGATAGCGGACGGATAGCCCTAGGATGGATATGTGGATAGACAGGGCCAGCGGATGGCCCTAGGATGGATGTGTGGATAGACAGGCTGCGGATAGCCCTAGGATGGATATGTGGATAGACAGAGGCACGGATGGCCCTAGGATGGATGTGTGGATGGCGCGGATAGTGGATGGATATGTGGATAGACAGAGGGATAGCCCTAGGATGGATATGTGGATAGACAGAGGCGGCGGGCCCTAGGATGGATACGGATAGCCCTAGGATGGATATGTGGATAGACAGAGGGCGCGGATAGCCCTAGGATGGATATGTGGATAGACAGAGGATAATCAGGACGGATAGCCCTAGGATGGATATGATGGATGGAGGATGGATAAGGGATAGATATGGATAGGCCCTAGGGATGGATATGTGGATGAACAGAGGTGGATAGACAGGGATAGCCCTAGGATGGATATGTGGATAGACAGAGGCACGGATAGCCCTAGGATGGATATGTGGATGAGGATGGATGGATAGCCCGGATGGCCTAGGATGGATATGTGGATAGACAGAGGCGCGGATAGCCCTAGGATGGATATGTGGATGAACAGAACTGGATAGCTAGGATGGATATGTGTGGATAGACGGATAGCCCTAGGATGGATATATTGGATAGACAGAGGGGACAGACAGGATGGCCCCTAGGGATGGATATGTGGACAGAGGCACGGATAGCCCTAGGATGGATATGTGGATAGACAGAGGCGCGGATGGCCCTAGGATGGATATGTGGATATGACAGAGACACGGATGGCCCTAGGATGGATATGTGGATGAGACCCGGATAGCCCTAGGATGGATATGTGGATAGACAGAGGCACGGATAGCCCTAGGATGGATATGTGGATAGACAGAGGTAATGGATAGCCCTAGGATGGATATGTGGATAGACAGAGGCTAGGGATGGATATGTGATAGACAGAGGACCCTAGGATGGATATGTGGATAGACAGAGGCTAGGATGGATTGGATAGCCCTAGGATGGATATGTGGATAGACAGAGGCTGGATAGCCCTAGGATGGATGTGGATAGACAGAGGCACGGATAGCCCTAGGATGGATATGTGGATAGACAGAGGCACGGATAGCCCTAGGATGGATATGTGGATAGACAGAGGCACGGATAGCCCTAGGATGGATATGTGGATAGACAGGGGAGGCACGGATAGCCCTAGGATGGATATGTGGATAGACAGAGGACGGATAGCCCTAGGATGGATATGTGGATAGACAGAGGCGGATACGGATAGCCCTAGGATGGATATGATGGATGAACAGAGGCGGATAGCCCTAGGATGGATATGTGGATAGACAGAGGCTTAGGATGGATACGGATAGCCCTAGGATGGATATGTGGATAGACAGAGTACGGATAGCCCTAGGATGGATATGTGGATAGACAGAGGCACGGATAGCCCTAGGATGGATATGTGGATATGTGGACAGAGGCATGGAGCCCTAGGATGGATGTGGATGAACAGAGCGCGGATAGCCTAGGGATGGATATGTGGATAGACAGAGGCACGGATAGCCCTAGGATGGATATGGATGGATAGACATGGATGTGGGACGCGGATAGCCTAGGATGGATATGTGGATAGACAGAGGCGCGGATAGCCCTAGGATGGATATGTGGATAGACAGAGGATACAGAGGGGATGGATATGTGGATACAGGATGGATATGTGGATAGACAGAGACAGGGACAGACGGATAGCCTAGGATGGATAGGATGGATATGTGGATAGACATGGATGTGGGACAGACGGATAGCCCTAGGATGGATATGTGGATGAACAGAGGCACGGATAGCCCTAGGATGGATATGTGGATAGACAGAGGCACGGATAGCCCTAGGATGGATATGTGGATAGACAGGGATATGTGGATAGGGATAGCGGATAGCCCTAGGATGGATATGTGGATAGACAGAGGCACGGATGGATAGCCCTAGGATGGATATGTGGATATGAACAGACAGAGGCGGATAGCCCTAGGATGGATATGTGGATAGACAGAGGCGCGGATAGCCCTAGGATGGATATGTGGATAGACAGAGGCGCGGATAGCCCTAGGATGGATATGTGGATAGACCGGATAGCCCTAGGATGGATATGTGGATAGATGTGGATAGGAGACAGACAGAGGCGCGGATAGCCCTAGGATGGATATGTGGATAGACAGAGGCACGGATAGCCCCTAGGATGGATATGTGGATAGACAGAGGCGGATAGCCCTGGGATGGATAGATAGACACAGGCTGGAGTGTGGATAGCCCTAGGATGGATATGTGGATAGACAGAGGCACGGATAGCCCTAGGATGGATGAATCGATTTAGAGATATATATAAAGATGTAAGCGCTGAAGCATCCAACATAACTCCGGCAAATACTATAATATTGACATATCAACCATGCGCACGGCTTATCTCGATATTTTCTTTGAAACTCTAATGTACACAGACACATACATCTTTCACAAATTACACTAATGGGGACACACTGGTAAGACATATCTTATGTCTGTCTAATCGTGCGTATGTTCGTGTACCTATTCAATTGTGTGTGTGTGTGTAACTGATGGTTTATCTATTTGCGAAGAAATCTTAAAGTGAGATGTAATGACATCACATAGAAAACTGATCGCTATCAAATGAACGCCACAAATTTCTCTGGACCGGGAAGAACGCGCAGGTCAACAACAGTACTACTTTTTTGTGTCTTTTGTTCAATCAGCATTTGTATTTGAACAGCTTGAACAAATATCAAATTGTTGATATGTTCCTCCGTTGATCGTTTCTCAAAATTTCTTCGCTGTTCAACCGAATGCGATTGTGAACGGGTCGCCCATGTCACGTCAATCTCTGAATCTTGAATTACAGGCGATCAGATAGGACGAGAATCTTTTCTCCCTGTTCTTTGTCCTTTTACTGCGCTTGATTTGTCATCTGCTTTTATTTCAATCAATTTTAATTCTTTATTTTTTTTATTGGTTGGTTTATGTTCCTTTCTTTGTCTTCATTCATTTTAAAAAGGTTTTCTTCTTTCACTTTTCTCATTCATTTTTCGTTATTTCAAATTCTTTCGTTTATTTATCCATTTTGTTTCGTACTTTCCTCGTTGATTTTTCCCATCGAAGTTTTCGTTTCACAAATTTAGTTGCTTTATTTTGTTTTTTATTTTTTGTTGTTTTTTTTTTTTGTTAGATTTATTCGTTTCATTAACTTTACCTCTTCCTGTCTTCTTTTTTCTTATTTTTTTTCATCTTTAATTCTTCCCCCCCCCTCTCATCTTTCATTCTCCAACCCCCTTTCGTCTTATCTTTCTTTTACATTTTCTCATCTTCTCTTTCTATTTCATTCTCTTGTTATTTTTCTCTTCGAGACTTCTGCTTTTTTTAATTATCTTAATACTTTTCATCTTCTCGTCGTCTTTTCTCTTTTATTCTCCTCTCCTTCCTCTTCTTTTATTCTTTTATTCTCTTTTTCTTCCTCTTCTTTCCTTCTCTTTTTCTTCCATTCTCTTCTATTCTTTTTCTTCCATTCTCTTCTTCTTCCTCCTCTTTTTTCTTCTTCTTCCTCCTTTTTTCTTTTTTATCCCATTCTTTCTTTATTCATTCTTTTTTTTTCTTTTTTATCACTGTCTTTTACTTTATTTTCCCCATTTTCCATTAGGCCTTTCTTTCTCTTCTCTGTTCTTTTCTTCCACTTTTAAATCTTACTCTTCCTTCCTCTCTTTTCTTTCCCTTACCCTATTCACCGTCCCTCAGCTTATCTTTCTTCCTCGACCTCCCCTCTTTCTCACATCTTTCGTCAGAAAACCAATCTGCAGACGACACCCACAAATGAAAATGCCACAACCTTCAGAGACCAAATCTGGATTTTCTTCCATCTTCCCGGAGCCCTTAACTCGCTACCTTACCCGATTCTTCCATTTCCAATGTCCTCGTTTTAAAATATTTGCAAGCTTCTCCCAATTCTTGGACGATTAATCTTTTCCTAATGGCAACTGATTGATTGCATCTGTTCCAATATCGATCGTTTTCTTTCCATGTTGTTTGCTACGACATTCACGAAACGCCGCTCTGGTGACAGTATTTTTGCAAGTATCATCATCATTTTTACCAATATTATTATTATTCTTTTTCGTAGGTACACCTGTTTCGGTTTCGGGATCAGGGTGCATGACCCGCCTTTTTTTTTTTTTTTTTTTTTTTTTTTGGCTGGAATGAAAGTGTAGTACCTGTCTTCGGGTGGACAAAATACATTTTATCACAATTGTGTTTCTCTCTTGCAAAACACAATAAATAAAGGGATGCCTTGTCCTGTTCATTCTTACACTGTAGCAGAACCTCCCTCATTCCACTAAAGAGGGAAGGTCGGTGGAATATCGTCGCCAGCTCGATGTTGTTTGCTGGGACTGCGTTTAACCTCCGTGCAAGAGTTTGGGCCCCCCATTTTAAACCTGTCTTATGCCATATCCCGCAGGGCGAGTAAATACCAATAGTATTTGTTGTCTCTTCATTTGAGATTGTAGAAGGCGCCATTTCCGGAGATTCCAACTTTGCGGCAGCACCTTCCTCATTGCTCTAAAAGAAGTGGGGTTTGAGTAACATGGACGCAAACGTGATAGTAGTCGCGGGAACTGGTCATTTTTTTTTTTGTCCTTGGCCCACGTGGAATATACATGTGTATTGCTGCCTACACACGCCTTTCTGGGTTGGGATCAAAGTGTAGTATCTGTTCTAGGGAAACCTGTTCCAAGGGGTTCCAACACTACAGCAAAACCTTCGTAATTGCATTAAAAAAGGAAGATCGGTGGATTAAAGTATCCGCTGAGACTGAGCAGTCTTTGTTCTCGGTCCATATATATGCGTAATGGCATTCGATGTTAACCCACCTATGTGTCACGTCCTGCTAGCGTGGGCTGGACGTGTTAGAAAATATCAACCGCCTTTATCTTGCCTTCGGGCTGGGATCAAAGTGTAGTATATTTTGTCCTGTCTGCCGTGTTTTAGCCTTCAAGCAATTCAATGGAAAGTAATAAACACATGTTGAAATCGCTACACACAAGCTTTCATGTTTCAATACTTTGGTTGTACTTCTTCAAGCGATTGTAACTGTTGATATATTGGTCTACTTTGTATGGAGCACTTATTTAAAAGTAAATGCTATGAACAGTGGAATTTTACTCCATCTTTCTCTCATTTGGAGATATATATATATATATATATATATATATATATATATATATATATATAATTACTATAATTATTTTTAAAACTATGATTCCATTGCTACATAAGAGTTCACATGTTTCAAAAATAGATGATAAAATCTTCAATTAAATTATAGAAATTAAATTGAAGTATCTAGTTCTTTTTCATCCTCATGCGAATTTTGGAATAACTAATTTGGAAATTTACGGAGATTTATAAGCATGTACATACGTAATATTAATTTCTATGGATATGGAGAAAACCAATCATTTTGATAAGGGGCAGTAGTGTATTCATTTTCACTGACAACTATTGTATCAACATATTAGTTACTTTAGAAAAGAGGTTAAGTCAAGGTAGGATCAGGGTGCCTTTTTTTCAAACGAATGATGACATCCGTGCAATGCATATCGTCTGGTCTATTTCAACGACAAAATTTTTGGCACTTTTGTTATGCCGTTAAACGTGTATTTGTATGCATAATGATTTTTTTCTTTTCTCCACACACACACACACACACACACATACATACATACATACATACACACACACATATATATATATATATATATATATATATATATATATATATAGTGGTGATATCAAAGTTAGAACAAAGCTTAAAACAGGATATCAGTCAGTTATGTGCCATGCGTGGTACACGCATAGGCGATCATGTATCTTTCGATACATGACTGACGAGATAGATTTTTACCCGCAGTAGGTTGCCATTACTTTCTGCGGTAGACCAGTTGCCATCAAGGTATAAAACCCGGTCTGTCTTGCTATTTACCTATAGCTTTAGAAGAAGAGGATTCATACTTTTCTCAAGACACGTAAGTGAATGTAATGGATTCGACTGGATTTCGAACTCGGAGAGCCGAGTTCGAAATTCAGTGGCTAAAAATGAGAAGCCTAAAAAAAAAATAATATATGCTTATTATCCCAAATATAATATATATATATATATATATATATATATATTAAAAGAGTAAGACCGTATTGCCAAAACACTCTGCTGTGGAAATTTGTAAACAACGTGTGGCACTAGCCTCGTAGCCACCCAACGAACTAATGACGGCTTATTGAAAAAAAATGCAGGACCATTGAAGTAGCCGAACAACATAGTACCGGATTAAAGAGGTTATAATGTACACATACTTAATCTACTTTAGTATTGCAAAATATCATATAGGTATGAACATGGAACCAACCTGGATCATTAAAATCAAGTCAAAGACTGAAAGTGCGACACTGAGATCTGAAGACTTATTGCGATGGCCAAAGATGCATTCCAAAAGCTAAGCAGAGTATTAAGAGATAGAACAATTTCGTTAGAGACAAAGAAAAGAGTACTGAACTGTTACACCACGTATGTCTTTCTGTATTGCTTTGAATGCTGGACAATGTCCTCAAAGATGAAGAAGAGACTTGAAGCAACAGAAATGTGGTTCTACAGAAAAATGCTGAGGATACCATAGACCGAATATGTGAGCCACAGCGAGGTTTTGAAGAGAATGGAAACAAAAAAAAACTTGTGCTTAACATGAGGAAGAAGCAGTTGAAGTTTCTGGAGCGCATAATGATTAAAAAGGTCTTGGAAAATCTGATACTCACAGGACAGATTGTAGGAAAGAGGGTCATAGGAAATCCTCGCGTAACATACTTGATGGTCTTGAGAAAATGGATGACGGAACAGGGTTTATGAGAAATAACAAAAAGACAAAACTTATTAAGAGTTACAAGGGACAGGAAGATGTGTAGGCCCATGATCACCTACGCCTTGAAGGTACATGACACATAAAAGAAGACTGACCGCTGGCCTCTCTGGAAAATTAGTAAATATTTTATCCAACAGGCAGGCTCGAACATGCGATATTCATTAACGCATTCTATAAAGTGACTCTTTAGTTTATCTCCAAGACAGTCCTATGGTCCGACTGCTATGGTTTTAAACCCAGGTTGGATGAAGAGTTTACGCTACATGTCAGATGTCATGTGATCAGATTAACAGCTCAACACTTCTGTTCCAAATATAACGCACTTGCCATTATTTGTCAAACACCATGCTATATGCTATTGATTATATCAGAAACATGAATAAATCTTTTGGATAAAAAGTTAGTCGGAGTAAAAAAAAAAAAAGTGTCGGGCTCCTGGACTTCGATAAAGAGGAAAACAGAATCAAGTTTCCCTGGTCTCATCGGAAAGACTAATTCAGATTCTAAATTTACTTGATTTGTTTTAATTTTTTTTATTTACTTATTGTTACTAGAAGGGAGAGTAATATCGTCGATACACTTGAAAAAAAATAATCTCTTTTTTTTTTTTTAATTATTTTTTTTTCCATGATTTTCTTTTCAAATCTTAAAAAGAAAGCATTCGCAGGGCCTCCTTGGTTTTTGCTGATGCTCGTAACGTAGATCTGAGTCCCCATGATTTTTTTTTTTTTGTAATCTCTCCGATTTAGTTTGATATACTCGCATAGTATGAAATACAATACACACACAGTGTATATATGTATGTAAGTGTGTGTATATATATATATATATATATATATATATATATATATAGTATTTATTCGTACAGATATTTATTGAAGACGTTTTGAAATAAGTGCACTTTGTTTTTTTATAGAGGAACTTTTCAAGATTGTTATCTTAAAAAGATATCGACTCCATTATTTGGAGATATTATTTTTTTACGTCTATTTCGCTTATTTGTGTGGGCGGCATGTATGTATCAAAGGACTATATATATATATATATATATATATATATATATATATATATATATGACAGAGAATCAAAGTATTTATACACACGAGTCGGTCAGAATGTAATGCCTTCTATTTTTAGTATCCTGGCCTACGAACGTAGAAGCAGAAGAGGTTGCATATTCCCGTCATAAACGTGTAATTATTGTGTTTGTTAATGAAACCAGCTGAGTGGTGGTTCTGCAAAATGGCGCCTGACAGGAAAATGCACGGGAAACAGAGATATGTCACTGAATTCATCCATGCAAAAAAAAAAATGCGCTCAGTGAAGTTCATTGATTTTACGAAGACCATATAGTGTATGTGAGCACAAGCAGGACGTTAGTACTATAATTCTATCAGTGACGAAAACTTTCCTGTATTGAACGGTATTTTTTTTTGACTCCATGTATCTCGTATAGTTTCTATGTAAATAAATAGTGGGCATTATTTTCGAAGCACCCCGAGATATATATATATATATATATATGTGATCGGCTTCTCCTTTCCGAGCACACCTGTCTGCTAGGGCAGATAGCCAATCTCTGTGGCAGACGACCTGCCTATGGATTAAACTGTAGCTATGCTGAATGAACGTGAGTTTATGGAGGAGTGCGTATCATTTGATGTAATGAACAGTTTTGAACAAGACCAATACGCTCAAACCCTTGCTGGCACAATCATTGACTATCAGTCCTAAGGCTTTGCAGTATAATGGTGGTGTGGTTTTGAGGCATGTTCCAAAGGTAGTGCACGCTGGAGTCTCCTGCTCTGTCGATAATATCAAAAAGTCACCTTCTTTACAGGTCGACCACTGTGAGATTCGAACTCCGGAGCTTATGTTCATGAAAGCTAACGTTCTAAACACTCGACACACACACACACACATATATATATATATAGGTCGGTTGTAAACAAAAAACTTAACAGGGTTAACTCAAATACCTCTATGAACTGAAAATAATGTTTATAGTAATAAAAATAATGTAATGTAACATACATATATATATATATATATATATATATATATATATATATATAAGTGTATGTGCTGATTTTTGTGTGTGCGTGTCTGTATGCCGTGTGGTTCCACCCCGTCTTTTGAATAAGAAATAAGAGTAGAGTTTTATCCCTTGCTCCCTGTTTAGGATAGGGGTTTCCGGTTCCTTTTTCTTCATTCCTCTCATTCTATTTCGTTCTCAGTAGCCCCTTGCGTCTTCGTGGCATTATCGCTTTACTTGCGATGAAATGGTTACAAATATATATATATGGAGATAAACAAATATTTAATAGAAGTGTAATATAATCTAATTTCTAGTGAATAAAGTTTGTGTTGTTTTTGTATACAGTGCTCCATATCCTGATAATAGAACCAAATACAGTGACTGATAATGTTTTCAGGTATGATGTTAGAAATCCCACAGAATATATGTATCTGGAATAATATGACACATAAATTCTCTGTATCAAAAGAATATTGAGTAACTGAATGACAAAATGGAAAAAATCCTAGAAAACGTGCTTCGTCCTTCATAACGTATTTTGTTGCCCCCCCTGCATCCCATATATATATATATATATATATTTGTATCTATAAAAAGAATGTATAAACATAAAAATGTCTTAAAATAATTGTCGGACTTTGTCCATTTCATAATGTGTGACGTCATTTGTTTACGAATGTCTTTCTTGAATTAACATCATACCTTTCAATTCAAGAAAGACATTCGGATTACTAACACAAAAACAGAGAATGTCTCATATCGAGAATATTTAACATTGAAAGACATAAGGAAAAAATTAATTATTTTTAATAATATGTGGAAATCTCCGCCTTTTACCTGAAGACGGTCGCGTGACCAGAAACACGTGTAGTAAAATTATGGAAAATAAAGCATAATATTTTTAAAAAAAAAATCCACATTACAACCAAAAACGTTTGCGACACCTCTTTTCTCTTCTTTTTAATATATATATATATATATATATATATATATATATATTCAGACAGTGTATCTGTAAAGGAACGGAATGAATAAAAAGCGACAAGATGCTAAAAATAGTTTTTCCTCTTGTCTCTTTTTATTCATATATAATTATTCCATCAACAAAATAATTAATTAGTCTGAAGAGATCCTTTTGAAGGATGAAACTTGTTACATAGGATTTCCGTTATTCTGTCCTTAAATTAACCAACAGGTATGATAAAATACTAATCTTTTTATAACACTTGATTTCCAATAATGTGATTTAAGCACCTGGGAATCCTCAATTTTCTATTCTTAGCCTACATACATTGGAACTAAAAGAAAAAAAATGCCATGGAAGTTGAGGTCTTAGCAAATGCTATATTTTGATCTTAACTTCAAAGGCTACAGAAAAAGAAATTCTCAGTGTACCATCAAAATAACAGATAAAAATTAAAGTTGCCTTTTTCTTTCATTCTATTTTATATGCTATTTTAAATTGAACAAGTAATTTTCTTTTTTTTCATAACAGATAAAAAAAAAATTGAACTTACTTGGTACAGGAACATAATCTCTCCAAAGTCTAAAAGCTTTGTTTCCTCTTAGTTTACCAATTCCATGTTTTACTGAATTCTGTTGTCCTGCAGCTGGGGCATCAGCAGATTCAATTATTGGCATTATGATGAATTCTTCTCCAAAGACTTTGATGATTCCATGCTGTAGAGTAAGTAAAAACAAAAAATTCTGCTCAAACCAATTCTTCCAAATAATTATCAACTGTAACAGCGAAATAAATGTATTTGAATTCCTGTACCTAACCTCAGTATAACCTGCATATATATATATATATATATATATATTACAGCCATATCACATTGAAACATCGCTTCGATTTGCCCAATCTTGGCACTAAAATAACGGTCTAGGTATTTGCGATGAAAAGTAACTGATATTAAGATAAAGGAAATACCAGTGAAAATAAAATAGATAATGACTAACAATGAAAATTCAACATAATATTTGGAAGTTTAAGAGGAAAAAAGAGCAATATGAATATTGATTCGCGTCAATTTTTCATATGAAGCTTTCTTGTTTTGAAAATTTGCATTATATCTCATGAGGCACCCAGTTAAAATTAAACTCACTATAGAAATACTGTAGGAATAATTATTAACAGTAAGAGGAATGCGTGGTTGTAAGCAAAAGAGACACTACAAAGTATAAGATGCATATTGGGGATATCAAAATCAACAGGTATAGAAATTTAACTACATGGTTAGTATAGTGACAGACGACGGAACGGAAAATGTGACACGGAAATCCGCATAGGAGTAGTGAATGATTCCTTCCCGAAACTAAGCAAAGTATAAAGATATAGAAAAATACCTGAATTCTTCTCAAAGGACTTTGCTGATCCTCAGTGGTCAAGTATTCTCCATCAACTAATTCTACCAAATAATTATCAATCGTAATAGCTAAATACAGGGCGACCGTAAAGTCTGGATATACCTCTACACATTCTCCTTCAGAAACAGAATTCAAGGAGACTGATCTCTGTGAAACAAGGAGTCCATACAAGACGTCCACGTCTCCCAATTTAGTTATGGGAAATCATAATTCAGTCAGTCTCTTACCGCCATGGCGTAATGGGCAGAATGTGGAATTAATTAATTAATTACGCCTTTTCCCGTACGATCGTCGAAGTTAAGCAATGCCGAGCCTGGTCAGTATCTACACGGGTGACCACTTGGGAATATCAGGTGCTGTAAGCTTGGATGTATGGGTGATGTAATGGATAATGGCTCGGAATTGTTAATCGGTGAGCCGTGTTCCAATTACCGTTGGGTTCGTTATATTCACTTACGCGCAAATATCATTGGGAAAGGTATAAACCACTTTATTCATGTTAATTAGTAAAAATTGTATCACGAAACCATTATTATCTAAAAAAAAAAAAAATCTTACAATCTAAAAATATTTTCTGGCTTTAAATAACTTGTAAAGGGTCTATAAGCCGTAGTGAATGAAGGAATCGATGTTTCGTTACGTTTTAAGAATTTTAAATAATCCCCACCCGAGGTATGATATTAGTTGTTTTTGGAGTTCAGTTGTGGAGATGTGTCCTTGTTAATCTACCAACATTTTGGTTGAACGTTGTCGTATGTAACACATTTTCATCATCTCTTGTTATATATTTAAGGAATAGTTATTTTATATAATACATTTGGCGTTACCATTGGTTCCCAAAAACGGAAATTACTTATCACTCGACCTCATAAAGAACTGCGGGTCTGCAAAAAAAAAAAAAAAAAAAAGCTATTGTTGTTACGCCGTTTCACTAGATTTTTTGATTTTTTTTTTCTTCGATTGTGTTAGTGTGCTTGAATAAGCTGAACTCAGGTATTTTTTTCGTCTAATCCTGATTTCATTCATTCCTTCATTGAAATTCGTTTTTTTATTCATTTTTTTTTTCTCATACAATTTTTGATCTCAAATTCCAGCTTTCTTTTTCAACAATAACCTTTCTTTCATGAGAGGTTCTCCCCCCTTTCTCTCATTATTTCCTTCCTTCCGACTTGCTCACTCTCTCCTTCTCTCGGTCACTGGTTTTGTAATTTTTTCCGTGTTAGTTTTTTTTTTTCTGCCAGAAAGGGGAAAAAATGACCAATCAAATCCGTTTCTCTGCTAAAAGCGGCCATCTTGATCACACTCAAGACTTTCTCTTCCCGCGTCCATTTCACTCGTTCATTCCGAATAGCTAGCAACGTGACACATTCGATGGCAAAATGATGCAGACTGTTTGCTTGGTAGGAGGGGGGTAGAACTGAAGACGGTGACACGTTGTACCTTAAGGCCCGGTACGATAATTTTGTCAGTATAAAAGACACTCTGCAAAAATAGTAATATTCTGGACAGTTCTTGTCAAAACTAACGCTTACACACTTCGGATATTTTCCGTTGGTCATAACTACATCCAGCAGTAAGGCCTGGAGGTTTTGAGGAGTGTGAAACCAGCTCTTAATTGCTGTTGTTCCCAGGTCTACTCTGACCAGTTATGGGCAAATAGTGACCCCCCACTCATAAAAAAAAATAATCAATAGCATATTTTTATAAAAAAAATGACCATGGCAAAATGACAATACAATACTAAAAAAGTATAAGGATGCATTTTTCATAGTAAAATTACCAACAATACATTTTATAATCTACAGACTAAAAAACACACCATTATCCTGAAACTATAAAATTATATACAAAATATCTGTAGTTGAAGGCATAAAATTTCGTTCCAGATATTGAGATTTCGGCATTAAATGATCCATAGAGGTGTTGATATGCCACTAAATAAAATAAACTAAACTAAATATTTCTACTTTACGTAAATGATTTGCCTAAGAGTATACTCCGATTATTTGTGACTATCTATGCTGATGTTACAACGGTATATGACTGTACCTCACCTCTAAAACTCGAGATGACCAGAAATTAGCAGCTGATCTCTCCTCGGACATGTCAGTGGAGGGGGGTGACTGGCTGGCTGCATTCAACGCCAAGAAAATCAAACTAGTTACATTCCATCAGTGTCGATCGGACAAAGAACTATTACTAACTACGATGAACGGATATCACCTCTGGGAAGTCACTTGCCTTGAAAGCTTATTAGGACTTAAACTTGACTCTAACCTCAGGTGGAAGTCTTAAATTTTACAGTAAAATTAACAAAACATTTTATGATCTATAAAATATATACTTCAAAAACACGGAAAGTATGAAATTATGTACAAAATATATGTAGTTGAAAGCATAAAAGTACGTACAAAACATTCAGATTTTGGCATTAAATAACCCATAGAGGTCGAAATGCCGCTAAACAAAATCAACCAACCAACAATACCTATTTCAAGCCAAATTCCCAACAATACCTATTTCAAGCAAACCGTATTGTCGTCGGCGTAGTGACAGACATATTAGAGAAGTATTACTTACATTGTATTATCATTTAGTTAAATGTGGAAATCTTATTTTGCAACATGTACTTATAAACAGAAAAGTGGCGGGAGAAAGGTGTAAACTTAACAATATTTTTTCTCCACTTTCCTTCCGTTTATGAATACAAGTTTAAAAATAAAATCTGTATATTTACTTTGAAAAAGTCTCTTAGGGACGAAACGCGTTGGTACAGAAAAGGCTTTCTTTATACACACAAACACACACGCACACTTTACAATTGGAATTAAGATACTTTTAGTTAATGATCATTTTCACCTACGAATTTAAATTTTAAAATTCGCGGAATTTTCAAACCGTTTCTCGTATCAGTTTGTAGTGGGATACTCGTTAGAAAGAGAGAAAAGCCGTTAGAGGGGGCGTAGTGAGAGATATGGCAGAAGGCACCGTTACAGGAATTATATTATGGAGATAGGAGAGCCTGGGTAGGGAGAAGGAGGGGGAACGGTCTTTTGTGAGTCAGTTCTAACATATTTCAAATTCTATGTTGTGTTAATAGGACTCGCCTAAATTATACCAAAGGATTACTACCTGTGTGTGTGTATATATATATATTTTTTTTTTTTCAGGGTTTAAATGAGCAGCTCTGAATAGAGTCTGCCCCAAAACAGGCTTCTCGCATAAAAGTGCTCCATGCCACAAGAAATGGGAAAGCTTTTGAATATTAATTCAAATAGCCAGGTCCTGTGACTGTCCACTACTATTAGTTTCATGTGCTTTCTCACAATCATCATGTAGCCAGTTATTTGCATATATATATATATATATATATATATAGAGAGAGAGAGAGAGAGAGTGCGGGGTGGTGGTGGTGGGGTTATAATAGATCGGCTGTTGCCTATGCAGCTCGATGTCGTCCAAGGGAAATTCGGAGGCCAGAACGAAAATGAACAGGAACTCCGTCTCCGGATTTGTATTCAGAGTTGTTCCTCTCCTAGTCTGGTTGCCAACCATGACTACAGAGCCGAGACTGCCCTAATATTTAGTTGTCTTTCTTAGTCAATGTTTTTCCTTCCCCTAGAATGATTGCAACCCAGTTTTTCCTGCTATTTATCCATAGCTAGGGTAGGGAAAGAGAAAGATGCATACCTTTCCAAAGGGTATTAGCACGAAACTGAGTGTAATGAACGCAAATGGAATTCGAACTCTTCTCTCCGATTCCACAATTTCATTACTCCATTGCTTGCTGTGATATACCTCGTCGTCGAGCGGTAAAATACACAGGATCAAACAGTGGTTTCCCCTATAAAGGGGGACGCAGGTTCGATTGCTGAGAGGGAACGCATTTTCTTTTCTAAGATTTCTCAAATGCACAGGCCGATAGATGTCATACCCACAGTTGAACAAATAAAAATGGAGCGTCTATTTCAAATACGAAGTATCCACTGTAACAAGGTTTGAAATTATAAAAATATCGGATTATATATATATATATATATATATATATATATGGGTGTGTGTGTGTGGTGGAATCTCCCTTGGTATTTGACGTATGAGGCTCATGCGACTCAGTTCCTAGGAACCGACAACCCAGACACCAGCATATATAATTTGATTATAGTGCTGAAGGCTTTGTGCAGAAGCAAACACACTTTTTGAAGGGCCAAATATCTGGTGCACTACGTGCCACAAGGTCCCTAAACAACCCTCCGCAGGTTTTGAATTCAGAGTTGTCCTTCTCCTAGGCCAGTTGTCATCCAAGGCTATAGAAGCCAGCCTGCGCTACTATTTACCCATAGCTGGTGGGAGAAGAAGAGGATTAATACCGTTTCCCCAAGGCTATTAGCACGTAAGTGAATGTAAAGGATTCAATCCCGGCTCTCCGATTCTTCAATCCGAGCCGCTGTCCACTACTCCACCGTGCGTGTGTGTGTGTATATATATATATATATACATATATATATATATATATATATATATATTGTTAAACCTCGCTTAGATGAAACTTGGGTAGGTTTGTCTGGCTCACTAGGTTTAACAAGGTCTGCTCTACGGTTGTATTGAGCTCTTTTTAGTTAGTTGTTTACTCGTGTCGGGTTTTTTTCTTTGAGCTTTGAACCTGTATCTGTGCGATTTTTTTCGACAGACTTTCATGTTCCTGGCTCTTTCTTTTTTTAAAACCTTTTTTTTCCTTCGAGATTGATTTGATTATTGGCAAATCAAAAAATTCGAACGTTTTTCGAGGCAGTATAGTTATATATATATATATATATATATATATATATATATATATATATATATATATATTATTCCATAATTTGTTCAGATTTCTGGGGATATCAATACGTTTCAACCGGTACGCCCATGGGCTGTTATATAATTGCGTAACCCACTGCATACTTGTTGAAGAAAGAGCAACCTAAATGTACAACACCCCAAACCGTACTCACGGGGAAACACATTTTAACGGAATATTTTGAGTGGTCCGAAAATCTATCACCCCCTACATAATTTAATTTTCGATTTCAGATCGCTGACACGAACTCCTGCAGGTTGGAAGAGAGGGTTACTGTGACACGATTTTCGGACCACCCTATACTTACTTAGCACCTGTAAGACATAAATACTACATAAGTAAATTATTTCAAATTACTTAAACTGTCAACACAATGTGTTACCTTAAAAAATAGGTTTATACTAAAACATATAACCCCTACAATAGATAATCTACAAACTATATATCTATAAAGCATACGCTTACCATGGAAGTATAAAATTATGTACAAAATATGTTAAAGGTATACAATTGCTTTCAAAATATATTTAGTTGAAGACATGAAATATTTACATTTCGGTATAGATCCATAGATACGGCGAAACAAAATCAACCAAACCAATAGCCTACTGCAGCTAATGGATGAAAAACCGAGGAAAGCTGCATCGATTGAAACATTGTAATAAAGATCAACGACGCATGTCCGAGAGCCTCGTACAATACTATCAGAGTAATGTCGCCATATTTGTAACCACGGCAATCGGACGGAGCTGGTGGGGATTTGTAATTTATATATAGAAGAGAAAATAAATAGTCAAAACACTTCAGCACACGTAAATGGTATAATCTGTTCCTAATCTGAGCGTTCGTCTCTTCGCTCGCAGACGATATTTTGCAACGGCTTTTCCAAGCTGTTGTCTGCAATGAGATTTCTTTTAAACAGAGAAAGGGGTTGGGGGAAGCTTATCACGGGGCGGTCGGAATATTTGGCTGACTTTCTGTGACCTTTACAAGATTTCTCTTATTGCTGTGAAATACATATAAAAATATCTGACATTTTATATTTTACCAATACAAGACAGACATACATACACACATACATACATATATATATATATATATATATATATATATATATATATATATATATATATATATATATATATATATATATATACATTTCATTGAATACGACAGATAAGGTGCTTTTATTTAGTTTTTTATACAATTTCTCATGCAATCTAATTTTTTTTTTTTCTTTTCGGATGATAAATTGTATAAAAACTATTCCTATTTAACAGTTAACAAAATATTTAATCCTTGAAAATGGCTAAATGTATAGCCGAAAGCGCTCGGATAATAAAGAACATTCGGACAGTTTTT